GACTGCGTGCCGCACGCTGCGGAAACATATCATACCGTTTACATACACACACACATATATATATATACATATATATACATATATATATGCACATGTACATATGTGTATAATTCTATATGTATAAATACATATATGTGTAAATTATTGAAACATGTGCTGTATATATACATATATAGTATGACTACCATATACAAGCACTTATGCACATACACGTGTGTGTGCGTGTATATTACATATTCGTGCATTTGAGATATACATACATACATATACACACATACATGCGCATGTATGTGTGGATATATACCTATACACCTCTATGTAGATACGTATGTATGTATTGAATTGTATGTGGCTTCAAGGGCCCACTCGTTCGGCGGTCGTTGCCTCCGGACTCACAGACTCGAGTTCCTCGATCCCCGGCTTCCGACGACGGCCCAAGCTTTCGTGGGCTGCCTCGAGCAAGTACCGGACCTCTGGGCCTTCAGAAGAGGCCCCCAGGACGGCGCAGGAGGCTCCGAGACGGCCACTTGACCAGCTGGGTCCCAGTGAGGGCCGGTCGTTCTTGTGTCGTCTCCGCCACGCCCATGTCCTACCACACACCCGATAACGACCCATGTAAGCCCAAAGATAATGATACCAATCCAATGGCCTCGCAGGTCGTGGTCGGATGCCGTCGGTTGGGGTTTTCGATGTGTGGTCGCAAGCCTGCGTGGGGGTTGAGGCGGCACAATGTCGTATCGCATGCTTCCATGCATTATGTCTTCGAAGAAGTTTCCAAGTGTAGTAGGTGGGTGGACTTCAGGTGTGTAGTAACGCAGGGATGTAGGACGAAAGTAAGAGGCCTCCGCGCGAGCAGAAATGACACTGCAAGTGTCCTTGCTATACTGCGTAGTTACAGACATGCTTCCGCGCAAACCCACTGCACCCTGATGTTCCACCACGTCTGTAGTCCACCAGATAGTGCCGTGGATGGTGAGGAGTAGAGCTAGAGCTGACCACCATAGGCCAGCTCCGCTACCAAGTTTGCAAGGGGATGGGAGGCCCTACCAGCAGCTTCGCCTTAGGCGAAGCCAAGCTCCAGCGCTTTTGTACCGTAGTAACGATAGTCCCAGTAGCACGGGGCGAGCCATCTCAAGCAGTATTTTGGTATCGATGGCAAATAGTACACCTCGCGCTGAGGTGTAGTCAGATCTGGGCGGCCGGCCGCTTTGAGCCAAGCAGCCGCGGATGCACGCTCGTTCCCACTCACATGCAACGCCCACCTCACTGTAGAGTACTACAAGGTATCTCCGGTCAGATCTCCTCCCCAGGAAGGCCCATAAACGGTCGAAGAGCGCCGAAGAGGCCTCCGAGATGGCCCCCTGATGGTCCAAGAAGTCTTCAGGAAGCCAACAGGGGTGCACGACGTGCGCGATGTTCGATTCAGCAACTCTTGGCTCCTTTCTAAAAACTCCTGGGGCCGTCGGACAACCCGCTGGCCACCCGGAGAGGCGCCCAAAGCAGCCGAACATGCTAGGAACGTGCTTTCCCTCCAAACACGGCTCCTAGATGCCCTCCAAGACGGCGGAAATGGCCTCCAAGACTGCCGAGATGGCCCAAGAGAGCTCAAGATGGCCCCAATTTGCCTCCAAGATGGGCCGAGATGTGTCCAAGATGGCCAAGGATGGCCTCAAGATCGCCCTCGACGGCTCAAGAGGCCTCCAAGACGGCCCAAGAGGCTTCCAAGAGCAACCCCAGGAAGTCCCGAAGAGGCCAACATCACCGACTTTCCCTACGTTTGTGAAGGACCCTGGCGTTGGCTAGTCTACGGCTCCGTGGGGGGCCTCAGACGGACCCAGAGGCCACCAAGATGGCCCCAACAGCTCCCCAGAGGCCTCCGAGGTGGCCACCCTGACGGCCCAAGGGGATCCCAGTGCGGCCCCAGGAGGGCCCCGAGACTGCCCAGGAGACAAGACTGCCCAAGATGGCCTCCGAGACGGCCCTGGAGCGCCCCCGGCGGGCCCCAAGTCGGCACCGAGAGGCCCCCAGGACGGCCTCCGACGGCGTGAGAAGGCCAGAAGCGCTCTCCGACGACCCAAGAGCCTCACAAGGAGCCTCCAAGGGCCCCCAAGAGGCTCCAGGAAGCGCCCCAGAGGCCTCCAAGAGGCCTCCGGGAGGTTCCCAGGAGGGCCCAAGAATGCTCCTATTCTTTTTTCTCCCCCCACGTGTTCCCCGAAGGGTTTCCACAGCAGCTGGGGGAACGCATAATACGATAGCTTGGCCGAGCTATGGCCGCAACGTTGGGCCACACAGACGCTTCCAAAAGGCAGGCGGCGGTGGTGATTCGCCGTAGGCATCTTCGGTTGTGTCTCGCGCCAACGGCCTTCTCACTTTTAAGACTCTCGTCATCCTGGGGTTAGGTCGGGCATGTCCTCCTACAGGCGGATGTTGGAAAAAAATAATGCCGAAATGTTCAAACATAGTCCAACATAGTTAACACTCGTCCCCAAACTATTCGTTCTATGTTTGAACACTCCTCTTGTAGAGGGACATGCCCGACTTAATACTGGAGCCTCGACAACGCTCTGGGCAAGCACGTGCTCGGCATCAGCGGACGGCGGCCTGGCAGAAGCTACCCCCTCGGCAGTCTTGCCCAGGCCCTCGCCCTTGTACCCTGCTACCGCTCCTCCCTGCTGCCTCTCCCCTGACCTTCCAAAGTGCTTAAAAAGAACACTCGAGACCTATAGACCGATCTAGACGACTCACACCCTCAACTGGAATTTGGGTACTGAGGGCCAGGTGTTGTTTGCTTTGGCCATCCTGGAAGGTCAGGGTCGTTCCCCCCCCCTCCCTCTCTTCCCTGCTGGTGCTGCTCCCCCTCCCTCCCCTCCTCCTGCAGCACCCCTGCGGGCACCGCGCCTCTTCGCTCGCCGACCTTCCTTCCTGGGCGCCCCCGAGCCTCCCCATGCCATGGGCCCCCTGGGCCGCCGAAGACCAGGAAGCTACTGAAGGGGCCCCAGGACACACAAATAAATACACACAAATAAAGATATTCACTATATTTTCCCATATTTTCCCATATTTTCCCATATTTTCTTGGGAGTCGACGATTATTTGTGTCTGTGTTTCTTTCCCTCCTGAGCTACGTCGGGGCGCCGAGGGGTCAGTCTCGCGGAGCGCGTTTCTTCATGCTCGGCGATGACGGGCGTCATGGGGGGGGGGGGGGTACGACGTAACGCCCCCCCAGCGATGTGGCTCAGGCACCACAGCCGCGCCCGCGCGCACGACGCGACGAGCGACGAGCGACGAGCGACGACGACGACGCGAGCAGCATGTATGTGGCGATCTGCCCCACTGCGCCTGTGTACACCACAACGCTCGCGTGCACCACAGCGCGCGTATACACCACAGCGCCTGCGCACACCGCAACACCGCAACACCGCGCACACCTGCGTACACCCAATGCTTGCGTACACTACAGCGCCGGTTTACATGTGTACACCGCAGCAACCATGTGCAAAACAGCGCCTGTGTACACCACAATGCTTGCGTGCACCGCAGCGCCTGTGCATGCCACAGCGCCTGTCTATACCACAACATCCGCGTGCAACGCAGCGCCGGTTTACACCACAGCGCCTGCGTGCATAAGACAGGTAGAAGGAGCATGTATGTGAGGATCTCCTGCGGCAAGTGCTGATAATCAAATGCGACGTTCTTCCCTCCTCTCTCCTTCTCCACCTACACCTCCTCCTCCTCCGCCTCCTCCTCCTCCGCCTCCTCCTCCTCCTCTTACTCCTCCTCCTTACCCCCTGTTGTGCGGGTTGGCGCTACAGCGCACGTGCGCATTTCAGCGTGCACCGGACAATGGTCTATTGAATCGGTCCACTTGGTTCTCGGACGGCCAGTTTAGCTGGAGCCTCCTGGACGCCAATGGGAGGAAATAGGGTGGTGCGGGCGGACTCGGGAGGACTCGTAGATTCCAGCGGCGCTCCTTTGTCCATACGCAATATTTTCTCATGTTTCCTGTGGAACCCACAAGCGCTCCATTCCAACATTGTATATACAACAGTGGTGCTGTGTTCCACACGGTCGCTGTGGTGTACACAGGCGCCGTGGTGCACACGGGCACTGCAATGCACGCAGGCATTGTGGTGTACACTGGTGCTGCGTTGCACACGGCTGATGTGGTGTACGCAGGCGCTGTGGTGTACACAAGAACTGTTGTGCCCGCAGGCACGGTGGCACAAACGGACGCTGTGTTGCACGCGGCTGCTGTGGTGTACGTAGGCGGTGTGGTGTATACAGGCGTTGTGGTGCAGATCGCACCCTATATGCTGGTGCTACCCGTCCTCCGCCATTCCGAAGCATTCCCGGACGCCGCCGGCGCGAAACGCGACGTCATCGACCCCCTCCGCCGCCCCCAGATAATTACCGTCATCGGCTGGGAATAAAAAACAGGCTCCAGCCGCGTCCGCGCGCACAACGACGATGAGCGACGAGCGACGAGCCACGAGCGACGACGACGACGACGACGACGACGACGACGACGACGACGACGACGACTGCGGACCAGACTCGTATGCGGATCCCCATGGCGGCAGTGCCCGGAGCGCACAGGGGGGGGGGGGGGAGCGTTACGTCATAGGGGGGGGAGCGGGGGCCATGACGCCCGTCA